GTTATTAGCTGTCATGCGGGTCCTGGGAATCAAGCACTGACTGCTCTTAAGGAGGACCCAGGTTCTATTCCCAGGACCCACATGGCGGCTAACAACCATGTGTAACTCCAGTTCCAGGGGATCTGATGCCTTCTTCTGATGACCCAGGTGCACTTACATACATGTAGACAATACACTCATACACATAAAATAAAAAATGATAAAATATTTTTTAAACAATTTACAGTTTCCTGGGTGGGGGGTGACAATTTGGCAATACATTAGATTGAAATGTCTTTAAAACCAAAATGCACTTTAAATAAGCAACCTTGCTCCTAGGAATTTATCCTAAGGAAGTAAGACATACACTCAGAGATTAAAGCTACAAGAATGTTAATTTTTTTATGTTAGTGAAAAGCTGCACATAAACTAAATACTTAAAACAGATTGATTAGTGTATTCATAAACTGAAATAAGTGATATAGAAATACATTTATTGACAAAAAATTGTTTTGTGATGCATTGTCCCACAGAAACACTGGCTGTAAGACATACATAGAGAATGTCTGGAAAGACAAACACTGAAAAGACATACACTGTAATCATAATCTTATATATGAGAGGTAAAATTTATGAGTGCTTTTCAGTTTTTAATCTATTGTTTATCATTTTTACACCATAAGTATGTATTATGCATGTAATGACAAAATAAATTTTACTTTTTCTTTTTAAAAAATGTTATTCTTCAGCAGAACGAAAAGAGATTTTCATTCACTATTCTATGTACCTCTGAATTTAAAAAAAAAGAAAAACAAAAAACCATGAACATATGTTACCTTTCTCTTTTTTTGAAGCATGTACATATGTTGCCTTTCTCACAGGCAGGGCTCAAAATTGCAATCCTCCTGCCTCAGCTCCCCAGTGTTGGGATTACAGGCATGTGCTACCCTATTCAACTTCATATGTTATTTTAATTTGAAGAATGTCAATTGAGATTAAAAAAAATAATAACATAGCCTAAGGCCAGCTAATATACTGATCCAATACAGACAGAAGTAAAACATTATTCGGTTTTGATGCTAAAACTAAAATATACTGTTGAATTATGGAAAAAACAAAGACAAGTCACAGGTGGTTTAAAAAAAAAGGTATTTGTAGTTCATATAAGCACAGAAATAGTATCCAAACTGTATACATTTTTTAAAAAAATCAACATGATTGAGAAACCCAAACGGGGAAGGGAAGAGAGTGAGCCAAGGATACAGATGGACAACGAGGAAGAAGTGGAAATAGGTCAAATATGAAAAGAAAAAGTATGTATCCTTCAGGCTCGTGGGAAAAGAGATTGACAACCGCTCCCAGCTGTTCACAATGGTACATGCCTGAGATAGACAAAAAGTCAGGACACTGTGAAGCCAACTGTGAGTCAGGATAGCCAACAGGAGCTCTCCTACATGTCCAGAGACCCTGCTTTATTTATAAATGGTCTGAGAAGAGCCAGGAGGTAATACTATTTTTAAAGCTCTTCCTGTGGTTCTATCGCAGATGGGGTGAGGCTCTGGGCAGCATGCTAGCGAGAGCACAGCGCCCTCTAGTGGTTTCTGGTTTCTTACCTGCACTTCCAAAACAAGAGGTCCGGTTGCGTCTGTCCTTCTTTGACTCTATTAACTTCCCATTTCTCCCTCCAACACTTGAAACCAGTCCTTGAAATCCGTCATCTGCTGATCTCCATTACTTCGCTGGGTGTTTTAGCACCATTCATCAAGTTGAGTACTATCCCTTTGCTAATTTTAGGAATTTCAATAGCTATGTAGCCCACCTGCCAAGGCTACACCCAGACCATGATCTGACTTGCCAGCTCCACCTCCAAGTCTTTCCTTCTGATGCCTCACTTAGAAACACTCCATCCATCCATCCATCCATCCATCCATCCATCCATCCCTCCCTTTATCATTCCTCTGTATTCACGCTCAGCCGCTGTATTCCTCTCTCATCAAGTGAAGTCAGACTCTCCAGGGAACCACACTGAGTGGCTGAACACAGTTGGAGAAAATATCCACACCCATGCTGCTGGTCTCTCATGAAATGTGCACTGGGTCCTAACCTCAAGGAGGAGCAATCCTATCAGCTTTCCTATCATCCTTCCTTGGTCCTACACTCCTCCTCCTCCTGCTCCTCCTCCCCTCTTCTTCTTCTTCTTCCTCCTCCTCTCTTATGTTTCCCAAATTGTTTTCCCTTCTTCATTCTTGACTGATGATGGAGTCTTCATTTTGCAAAGACAGATGTTGATGAAACACAGTTCTACACCCTCTGCAAGGCTCTACCAGCCTGCCAAAATCTGTTCCGTATGCACTTTCCTCTGTCTTTCTGGATGAACTCTGTGTCAAGAGCCACTTTCTCCTCATTGAACCTGAAATTCACTTCCACCTGTTTCCTCGAGTAAATCACTTGTAATTATCCTGTCTCTGCTAGAGCAGCAACATCATCCCTGCTGTGAGGTGGTATTTCCAGTCTGTGCATGGCGCTGCAACGTCTTCCACCTCTAAAAAGTAAATCCCTCCCTTGAACAACAGCCTCCTCCTCCTTGCTCCTTGTCACACCAAGACACTGCTTTTTCGCTCCTGTTACTAATTATCCCCCTTCTGTTCTCTTAAGTACACTCTGAACAGGTTTCCTTCCCCAGTGCTCAAGAGAAATAGCTCTTTTCAACATGACAAATGACTATCAGATTGCCCAATCCAATGGTCAAGCCCCATTTTTCCATCTCATTTGAATTATCAGCAACATTTTATGTGGTTAAAATATCTTCAAACATGTTCTTTCTGGGCATCTTAGATACCCTCCCCCCCAAGACCCTTTCTTTTCCTCAAATTTTCAGTTCATTGACATTCATTCCTTCCCAGTCTCCTGGGCCCTCTTTCTCCCCCAGATCTTCTCTGACTCAGACCTTCTCTTCTTTAATTCCATCCTTGCCCCTGGCATCAAAGCCAATGACTCCCCAATAACTGTCCCCATCCCAGATTTCCCTGAACTCCAATTCTTGCATCCAATTGCCCACTAAGCACTTGTTAAATCATTCTTGTTGAAAGCCAAACACTTGAATCCTCACTATCCAGACTCCAAAGCTGCCCCTTTACCCTTCCTTTCCCAGGGCGATCTTTCTATTCTCCCACAATCTCAAGCCAACATCCTGGGAGTCATTGGGAACTCCTTTCTCTTTAGCTCAAAACACACATTCAATCCATGAACACATTTTGTTGTGTTTTCTTCAACATATACAAAATAGATCCATAAATAAAGTTCCTCTCATGCTCTGCCCTATTCTCAGGGTAGCTAAGGCCATCATCACAGGCTCCTGTGGATAACCAAAATGATCCCTAATTGGTCTCCCTACCTCTCCACTTCCCTCTACCCATTCACTCCCACCCACCCCAATCCAATTCAGGCCTCAGTTTCACAGCACTCTCCTACTAAAACGTTTTAAAGCTTCCCTTCCACTCAAAAATACAGACTCCAATCCATACTGTAGCATGCAGGGCACATCTGCCTCAGCTGGGATCCTATGACCTCTTTGGTTTCAGCTCCTTTCAGTACCCCTACCACCCCACCACCATCCCTCTGCTCTAGTCACATTGGCCACCTGATTTTCCTGTGAGTGCACCAACCATGCTCTCACACTGTTCTTGCAGTCCCCTCACCCTGGGACCATCCCCAGATATCACCATTGGTCACGTTCTGTTCTTGCCTCTAAGTTACATTGTGATGTGACTAGGGGTCTTCCTATATCAGCCAGGTCTTCCCAGACCACAGTTACTCTCTCCCACCATGCTCTAGGCCTTAAGGATCCTACACATCCTTCTTTATTCCTCCCCCTGACATGTTTTCAAGTTAGGGGCTTGTGAACAGGACTTGGTTTTGCTCTTTAATGTCCCAGGCCCTAAAGCATTACTTGCTACATAATACATGCTTTTGAAAAGCTGTGTTGAAGAGCTGGGCGATAACTCAGTGGTTAAAGCACTTGCCACACAACTATGAAGACTGGTGTTTGGTTTCCCAGAACCCATGTAAATGCCGGATGGGCTTGGCGGTCTGCCTATAATTCCAGCCTTGGAAGAGGAGACAGCACAGAAACCATATCTGAGAGCTCTGGGTTTGATTGATAGACCAGGTTTCATTGAAAAAGATGAAGAGAGATTGAGGATGACTCTCAACATCAACCTCCAGGTTCCATACGCATGCACACCGACAAACACACATGTGCCCGTACACATGCAAACATGCATGCACACAGTGTATATCACAAACATACACACAAAAGGAAAAAGGAAGAAAAAGTGCTACAGTGGTTCAACCAGGCTGTGAGGCAATTGGGCAATGTCTAGTTAAAGATAGCCCAGCTATTCTATTGCTAGCCTGGGATCCAAGGAAATGCACACAAAGATAGCCGCTGCATCATTCTCTGTAATTGAGTGAAATATGAAACACACTAAATCCCATAACTAGGCAATGGGCATATTGTGGCATAGAATGGAAGCTAAAAAGACTCAAAATGGATGTCCTAGTACTACATTATGACCATGATTGCTTTTCAAAAGATGCTTAACATTAAGACTGGGGCTTGGGCTCGGTTGGTAGAAATCCTGTTATCTCCTATTTTTCTATATGATTTAAAAAATCCAAAATGTTTTAAATCAACGTAAAAAGTTTCAAGTTGCAAAAAACTGAAATATTTGCAATAAGACCTGGTATGTTTGGGAGCAGCTGTATTTGAACAAAAGAACATAATTCACAGTTGGGGGGAAAATACCTTGTTGCTAGGATTGTTTGCTGATCATTCTTTTTCTGGATAGGTGTGGTGGTTTGGGTCAAAAGAGAAAAAGGAAACCTGTCCTTTAAGACCAGAATGTCTGACTGGTCTGTTGCCCTCAGCTGGCCAGCAGGTGCTTGAGAGGTGCAGCTGTCTCCAGGCAGGCAGGAATTCACAGCATGGATGCTGATGTGTGTAGTACACTGAAACTCACCTGTCACACGTGGAGCACAATTTGGTACCGGTCACAGATTCAGAACTGGAAAAGAAGGCGGAAAGTGACTCTCTTCTATTTTAGAAATGAGGCACAGGAGCCAAGCACTGGATTGGGTTTAAATTCTGGCCCAATTCACAAAGGTTGGTCTCAAAGCAGTTTCTACCTTTGGTCACGTCAAGATGACTTTTGGTTTTTCCATGAATATAAAAATATGTTCATTCACTTAAATTTTTTATTCTATATGGAAAATATAGAGAAGGAACTGGAAATGACCTGATTATCCATCAACAGAGGAGTAATTACATAAATTGGATAGGTACAAAATATATTGTAGATCTTAGAAAAATGCTTTTGACTGTTACATATTGACTAAAAAAAGATAATCCTAAGCAGGAAAAAATAAAAATATATCAATATTTTGTCTCAATATTAATAAAAATTATTTTGAGTCAGGGCATTCTATGCAGCTGAACTTAGCCTCAGATTCACTGTGAAGCCCTGGCTGGTCTTGAACTTGCAATCCTCCTGCCTCAGTCTCCCGAGTGCTGGTCTAACAGGCACACACCATCATGCCCAGCTTCAGATTGTCATTTTTATGAAAAAGAAAAAAAAATCTGTCTTTGTATATATGTGTTTAGAGAGAAACTACAACAGAATCCACACCCTTAAAAATGACAGTGAGCCAGACAGGGTGGTGAAGCCTCAATCTCAGGGACTGAGGAGGCTGAAACCAAAGAATCTCAAATTCAAGGAGAATCCCAAATTCAAGGCGTACCAGTCTGCAGGCCCAGTTCAAGGTCAGCTTTGACAAGACAGAAAAACTCTGTCTCAAAATAGAATGAAAAAGTAAAAACAGGCTGGGGTTGTAGCTCATTTGTAGAGTTCTTGCTTAGTATGTGAAGGCCCTATGTTTTCCCCTGGTACAATACAATAATAATAATAATAAACAATGATAGTGATATTAAAGGGTCAAGAATGAGATTATTACCATTTTTAAAAATTGAATTTAAAGTTTTTTAAAGTGTGACTTTAAAAAGGAGAGAAAAGAGGAGAAAACTGGCCTTAAATACATCACTTAGAAAAATTCATTGCTTGTAAATTATAATTTGCCTGGCTTTTATGTAAAACATATGTACACATATTTACAAAAATCGTTCATACGATTTCCCTATACACTTTCCCTGCCCCCTTCACTCACTGTCAAAAAACTATAGTTTTTGGAGCTGGGCGTGGTGGCACATGCCTTAATCCCAGCACTTGGGAGGCAGAACAAGGTGGATATCTGTGAGTTCAAGGCCAGCCTCGCCTACATAGTGAGTTCCAGGACAGCTGGGGCTACAGAGAGACCCTGTCTCAAAAAGTCCAAAAAATAAATACATAAAATTACAGTTTTTGATGGATGCCGCAAATTCAGTTGTTCGAAGTTAATGCAGCTCAAGACACCAGTCCCTTAGTGTGGGACATTTAGAGTGCTTCCGGCTTTCCATGGCATAAACAGCTACAATCAACAACTACACACACACACACACACACACACACACACACACGCACACACACGCACACACACGCACACACACGCACTCACACTTGTTTGCTTAGGACCCATGTGAGTTGTCAGGCCTAAGCGGATGCGCAGGCCAAAGATACTGCGTTTGGGTTTTGGTCCACATTTCCAAGCAGATCTAGAAAGCGTACAGCTGTTGGGTATTTTTTTAAGTCTCACCCCAGGGCCACTAACGCGGAACCCGGGAATCCCTCAGCCTGGCAGAGGGATCCCTTTTCACGAAAACGCAGGGCTTTCCTCCGGCTTTGGAAAGCAAGGCAGGGGAACCCGCGAACCCCAAAACTCTCGTAGACAGGGAGCACGCGCTGAGCTCTTTCGGGGGAACGGAACCGGGATCGCAAAGTTTCCCGGCGGATGGGGCGGGAGCGGGATGCGGGCGGGCCCGGGGCGGGGTGAGGGCCCGGGGCGGGGCACTCGGCGCCTGTCCCTCCCCTGCGGCCGCGTCCCCGCCGGTCCTGCAGACGTGGCGGGGCGGGACGGCCGGGCTCCGCGCGCACTCGGCGGCCGAGCGGTAAGAGCCCCGGGCGCCCCCTCTCCATCCCCTCCCCGGGCGGGCGGGCACCTCCCTCCGAGCGGTCCCGAACCCCGCGCCCCCTGCCCTTTGCGGTCGTGAGAAGCCATCGGCCGGGACGTGGCACCGGGCGCCAGCAGGGAGCAGCCGACTTGGGGGCGAAGGTCCGGTCAGGCGCGGGCGGCGCGGCCGAGGGCCCTGCGTGGGTGCGGGCGTGTGAGTGTGTGTGTGTGAGTGTGTGTCGCTCCGGGTCCACGCTCATGCACACACCCACACGCCCGCACGCCGGGTCTGCACCCTCGGCCGGCCAGGAGCTCCGCGGAGCCCACCTTCTCCCAAAGTCTCCGTTCATGCAAGTCTGAAAAGTTTCCCTGGTGCCCCAAATCAGACGCGGCTGTAGGGTCCTCGCAGCACGGGGCATGGAGGCAGCAAATCCCTATCAGGGCTCCATCCCTGGGATGTGCCTGCCCTTGGCCTCCCACCCATGTCCACCACCCCTCCCCTGCAGGCCTCTCGCCTGCCTGCTCTGCTGCCCTGAGAACACCCTAGGCTAGCACCCCTGGATCCCAGCCTCCTCATGGGTCTCCTACACCCCACCCCAGACCCAGACCCTCCACCCGATTGGCTGGCCTTCTGAAAGGAATCCGGTGAGTATTCCCCAGCGGCCTGAGTTGCACTGCTTTTTCTTAGAGAAGGGTTATGGAGAGCATCATGCAGGCCCCGCTGATCCCATCCGTTCCCATCCTGAACCTCTTAAAGAGTCAAGCAGGTGGCTTTTTAAACCAATGTACTTTGAACTCCTGAGTAACCCAGCTGTGATACCAAAGCATGAGCCAGGCACTCTCCTCAGAGGCTTCCCTGCACTCCCTTCTAGTGGCCTTTCCTCCCCAACCTATATTCCTAGGCGCACTCTCATTTTTTCCATCAAGCCTGACATCGCAAATGAATCTAATTAACTTTCTATTGAAAACTGTAAGCAAAGGAATGAGACTCTAAGGGTGGAATTTGAAACAAGTAAGCCAGTGCAGAAGGAATTTGAAGGTAGGAGGGGACCTTCCTGAAATCAGGGATTCATACCCTGTAACTAGCCATCTCTTTCATCAGACCAGGCTTATGTCAAACATCATTTATTTTGAATCAATACCAAACAGTATATTTCAGTTCAGTAAATATTTGTGAGTCAGAATGGAGCAAGTTGCTGTTGGTCACAGTCCTGGAAGGATGACATGGCACAGAGACTTCTAAAGGCAATAGAGAAATCTGTGCAAAGTCTCAAAGAAACAGACAGGGGAACACTTAATTGTTTGGAGGGAGTGGGGCAGAGGAGGAGCAATTTCAAAGTTAAGGGTGACCCTAGATGCTGGGTAGCTAAGAGAATGGGAGTTGGCCTGGCTGGCAGTCCTGGTGTCAATGGATGCAGAATGGAGGTTTAGGAGCTGTGTGAGCTGGAAACCAGTGCCTGGAGGCAAGGATGTAGTTGGTGTTGAGTTTCAAGATACAGGGTGCCCTGGATGGTGAGGGGCTACAGATCCCCCACAATACACCTAGTGTTTTTTTAGCAAAGCAAATGAGTCTCTTCTGTGCTTTAGAAAATGCATGGCAGATGTAGACATGGGTCTGGGGTCTGGGTGTGTGCACTTGAAAAACTACATAGGAGCAGGAGTTTCTCTTCCAGAGGCTTAGCTTGGTCATTCTCAGACCTGCAGTTTTTCAGTAGGGAGGCAATCTCTTCCAGAATACATGTTCCCACATTTGTATTTCACCAAGTGAAGCCATTTAAAACATAATCCATCCACTGTCACTACATTTTTTTTATTATTTTATGAAATGAGAGACAGTTAAAAAATTTTTTTATGCATAGGAGTGTTTCTGCTTACATGTAAGTGCACCTGTCATGCAGTGCCCGCACAGACCAGAAGAGGGCGTCGGATCCCCTGGAACTGGAGTTGCCAATGGTTGTTAGCCCCCAGTGGGCGCTGGGAACTGAACCCTTGTTCTCTGTAAGAGCGGCCAGTGCTCTTAACCACTGAGTCATCGCTCCAGCCCCATGAGCAACATTTTTAATATCAAGAAAAGAACAAAAAGCTACACTTGCAAAGTGAAGGCAGAGCTTTATGATTAATAAATTTAGAATTTATGAAAAACTTGAAATCCTGTCCTCATTTTTCTCTGTCGTCAGACGCTGACCCCAGGCTTGGGGTCTGGGCTTGGAAACGAAGTTTCCAGATCATGTCATGCATTCTAAATTCACAGAGGAGGGAGCAGGAAGCCCAGTGAGAAATTGGGAGCTGTTTGCCTAAGGAGACATTGTGGTCAGAACCAGAGGCCACTGCTTGTTGCTCCCTCAGGTCCTGCTCTTTCCACCTCAGAATCTACCTCACCATTCTTCCATGCAGCCTCTGGGCCCAGTCACCCAGGTGTGCAGCCTGGCTGTCTAGAGTTGGTTCCAGAAACTGGGCATCTCCCTGTGCTCTTACCCCACCAACTTGAATAGCCATATAAAGCCACATTCATGATTCTCCTTGTACCAGTTCGGGAACATTTTTCCTTTATTTGATATCTCTTCCTTTCCTGCCTTTTTGTCTTCCTTCCTTTTAATTTAATTTTCTTTTTTTGATGTTAGAGATCAAATCCAATGCCTCATACATGCTAGGCAAGCACTCTACCACTGAGTTACACACTGTCCATGAATAGCACTCTAATGGTTTTGCGTTAGCTTCCCAAACATTCCTCATTCCTGAAAGATAATCCCTGTGTCTTCTGTTCTGTGTTTATCTGGGGGAGCTGTGAGGTAGCTGATCCAATACCTTGCATAGTTCTAGGAGCATTTTAGGTGATGAATAAATTTGCTCATGAAAAACCAACTTATTCCCAGCCTACAAAGGCTTCATTATACACCCCCTTTCTCTTCTTGGAGTTTCCTGAAGCAGCCGCCTTGTTTCTGTGGGTTGAATCTCTGTAGCATCAAAACCATGGACATGACTGTAGTGATCAGCCTTCTAAACCAGAAATCGATGAAGACTTCCAACTGTGCTGATGAGGCACCCAGGCAGGGGATACAGACATCTTAGACATACGCAACTTGCCACAGCTCAAGTCCTGGTGCACTCCACCAGGTCCTTCTCAGAAACAGCTGTGCATTTAGGACACTTTCCAGTAGTTACAGACAGGCTGGCACAGCCTTAAAACCAGTGTCATTTTCCTCATCATCTTAGCGTCCAGAGCCGATGAAGTTCTATCAAAACAAACAGAAGGCTCAGGCTGTAGATCAGTGAGTAGAGTACTTGCCTAGAATGAAGCCCTAGGTTCCACTCCCAGCACCCCATAAAACCAGGTGTGGTGGCGTATGCCTGTAATCGCAACATTCTGTAGGTGGTAGGGAATCAAAAGTTTAAGGTCATCCACAGCTACATATCTAGTTTGAAACCTAGCCTATGTTAAATGATATCCTCATCTCAAACAAAACAAAGCAAAGCAAAGGAAAAAAGGTGGGTGTTTTGTGGTGGGGGAGGGATGTAGAGAAAAATCAGACCTGTGACAGAAGTAAATGAGTAAATTACAGATTACAAGTTAAAATTGGACTCATAATAACCATTTTTATCATTTAAGCAGATGTAAAACATTGGCCTTCCTGAAATATATGTGTCCTCTGTAAATACATCTTAACAATATCACTTTAGTACCTCACAGATGATTCTTGGGCACTCTACCCTGGACATAGAGGGACAGAGGACAACGGTGCATTATTTCTCCCTGTCCCACATATCTTAAGGACTTGCCTTTTCACCAGCGGGAAGGGATTTCTAATATCAATTATGCTAATTAGCATACCCTAGAATACCCACCCAAGGGATGGTAGTTGAGCCCTCTCACCCAGTGGATACCCAGTGATGGATTTTGATATGCTTATGAAAGACCTTTTGAAAGTACGTCCCTGAATAAAGTAATTTAGTTATTAACTAATCACTTTTTGGCATAAATTAAAACTTATTAACATGTACATAGATCACATAGTATATGCCAAAGTATTTTAGAATACATATGAATAGTATAACAGCACATTTAAGACAAAGCACATGCACCCAAAGGTCCATAGTGGTTTTCATTTGCCCACAAATGTTTGTCATGGCCAGATTTGTTTGCATATTCCTGCTTTTATAAGAGTGAAATTGCCAGGCACGGTAGTTTATGCCTTTAGTCCCAGCACTTGGGAAGCAGAGGCAAGTAGATCTCTTTGAATTCAAAGCCAGCCTGGTCTACATAGTAAGTTCTAAACCAGCCAGGGCTACAATAGAGGAAAGAAATTAAATTGATTGGTGCTTCTTAATGATCTAGATTAATAATAAGGATGTTCAATTTACAGAGAAATAAAAGTATTAGATAAGGTCTGTGACCAGCTATAGATGATTTGAAAAATAAACATAAAAGTGACACTGGTTTGTCCTTTATTCCTTAACCTGTTCTTGTCAAGCTTGTCTCAGAGACCAGGCAAAATCTTTAGGCTATGGCCATTGGATAATATCTTGGGCTCTGGGCTAGCCTGCATTCTGTATGAGAGGCCAGAAAGTAACAATCTCAGACTCTGTGACTTTACAGGCCACACGGTTGTGTTGCATCCCACAGCTCTGCCATAATAGAGAAGCTATAACTCCATCTGAACAGAAAGGCCCATGGTTTCTCTCTGATAAAACTGTGTTTACCCAATAAGCAGAGGACAAAATTTGACCACTAGGTTGTACTTTGCAAACCCCTGCCCTAGGCCGTCCTGACTCTGAAGGAGGTTTTCATGAAGATTTTATCAGCTTCTAAAGGACAGTAGCTTTTCAACTATACCCCGCTACCTGGCCAGTCCCCTCCCTATAACCCACCACGATTTTCCTCACACTGGCCTTGTCATTCTTTACTATTTCAGCACAGCTTTGGACCGACTTCTTGATAGGCCACATCAACTCTGACTCTTCTAGACTTCACAAGTCAGCTGGAGTCTTTGCCTTTTCAGGAATGTCTTCACCGAATTCAGGGTCCAGGAGATATTTTTGTTAAAATAAATGTTCTAACTCAATTCTAGAGTTTATATCTAAAATTTCCTCCCATGTTCTCAGAGCTTAGTCCCCAGATTGACACTATTGGGAAGGAAGTGGTGGGAACTTTAGAGGTGGGGCCTAGTGGAAGGACTTCTAGTCATTGTTGGTATGCCATTGAAAGGAGGTAGTGACACCTTAGCCCCTTTCTCCTCCCCTTCCCTCCTTCCCTCCCTCCCTCCTCCTGATCCTCCTCCTCCTCCTGATCCTCCATCTCTTTTTCCTTCTTCTATTTTTTTTTTTTTTTTGAGACAGGGTCTCACTGTGCAGCCCTGGCTGGTCTATACCTCACTATGTAGACCAGGCTAGCCTCAAACTCACAGAAATCTGGTTGCTTGTCTCAAGCATGCTGGGATAAGGCATGTGCCACCTTACCCAGCCCTCTTCCACGTTTTTGCTTCTAGCTATGAAGTGGGAGGTTTTGGTCTACCATCCACTCCTGTCACAATATGTGACTTCACTCAAAAGTTCTGGGTCAACCAAGCACAAATCAAAACCCTCCAAATAAACCTATCATCTTATAAATTCATTACCTCAGGAATTTGTTATAGTGATAAAACTGCTAACTCACTCATTTAAGATGCAAAGGAACAAAAAAAAAGACAGTATGGAATTTTAAAGTCGTTTGAAACCAGCTGCCGTAAGAAAGTGCAGGAGTTTCTTGATACAAATCGTAGTGGGTTGAACATTATTTCTTGAGCTTCCCAATATATGCAAAAAACATATCCTTGCCTTCATTGAATTTACAATACAGTAGGAAAAGAAACCCTCAGATGATTCTAATCAGAGAGATAATGACCAACATGAAGTAGAAGCAGAGTACTCACTCAGAATTCAGAAAAGAAAATTTAAACAGTTGGGAGATGCAAAGAATGAAGGAAGTGATTGTTTTATGTGTGTAAGAAAACAATGTATTGAGCCAAGAGCCAGCTGAGGGTCTGTTATACATGTGTGTGAAAAGTATACGTGAATATGTGAGAGTTACGTCATGTCTTTTAAGGCTGGGAAGGGAATGATGGGAGCTAAGCCTACAGGGATCAAAGCAAAGGTGGTCAGATGCCACTAGAAGTGTGTGGGTTCACTTCAGCAAGGGCAGGAAGAAGGAGTCAGGATGTGTGCAGAAGAATGATGTAGAGCCAGGAGGCAAAGGATGTGGATTTGGGAAACAGCGGCAGTGACGAAGGTAAATCCAAAGTTGGAATAGACCGTGTGAGCTAGAGTGAAGACCTGGCAGGGAAAGGGAAGTAAAGTAAGTGTGCATGGCTTCTGAATACAGAGCCCGTAGAATTCACCCATTGGCTGAAAGCAAAAGAAGAGACCAGCAGCCTTGCCGATAGGGTTCATTCTCAGAGTCAGACATGACTCACACTTTGAATCTAAAAGTATGCCCTCCAAGCCTCAGTTTTCCTATCTGGAAAATGGAGCTCAACATATCTGACTCACAGGAGGTAATACACTTAAGTAGACTGGCAATTGTAAGCACCTGGTAAGTGATAGCCATTGATGCTGTGTATTCTTAAGAGGGTGAAAGTTTAGTTGATGAAGCCCTGGTTTTTGGAAAAATACAGAATTTGTTGTGAGAAACACAAAGGACAAGAAGACCTAGTATTTAGAGTATGAAGAGAGAGATGTCCAGCTGGCCATAGAATTACTTATGTGAATGTAGAATTTTCTTTATATCAGCATTATATATTATAAAATGCGCATACTATAAAATCTGTTTTCCAGTACGCTAGCCAGTGGATTTTGGTGTATTTACACACTTGCACAGCCACTGCCACCATTTGACTTTAGAACATTTCTGTCACCCCCAAGGGAAGCCTCATATTCATTAGCAATCACTCCTCACTCTCCTTTCCTTGAGCCCTGAAAAAAACTAGTCATCTCTTCTCTGTCTCTGTAGATTGGAGGCAGATATTTGAGAACCACGCACAGAACTGCATGAAAATTCTTACAAGATAACATGGCCACCAGGGGCCAAAGCATGCCTGTGTATTTTCCCTCCTGTGTATGTCTGATGACACTGAAAAACTAAATGACATTTTTAAAAGCTTTACTTATTTGTTTGTTTATTATGACTATGTGTGTGTGCCTGTAGGTGTTTATGTGCTTCACATGCATGCAGGAACCTGTAGAGGCCAGAAGAAGGCATCAGATTTCCCTAGAACTAGAGTTACAGGCAGTAATGAGCTGCCATGCGGGTGCTGAAAACTGAACTTGGGTCCTCTGCAAGAACAGTAGGCACCCTTGACCACTGAGCCATTTCTCTAGCATTTTAAAATAAGCTCTTAAGTAGTTTTTTTCTCTTTTCTCCTTTTTCTTTTGTTTTGTTCATTTGCTTTTTGGAGACATGATCTCCATGGTCGCCCTCAGATTTCCTGGCCTCAAACTCATGGTCCTCCTAGCCCAGCCTCCTGAGTTCTGGGATTATAGATGTGTGCTACCATGCCTGGCTTAAGCTTCCAAATATTTTGTATGTGGTTCTCATTTATTCAAAGATAATAAAATCAGGTTAAATAAAGAATGGCATAGATAAAGGTAATGCTCTGAATTCTCACATCATATCCCTTCATGCTAAGAGCCTTGCAAGTTTCAAGACTGGGCTTCAGGCTCATACTAATTTCCTATTGCTGCTATACTAAATTTCAACAAATGCCATGCCTTACACAACACACATTTACTTTTTTCCACTTCTAGAGGTCATAAATCAGAAATGGATTTTCCTTGGGCTAAGACCAAGAACCTCAGGGCTGGTTCTTCCTGGAGTGAGAAGGAAGAATGGTTTCCTTGTCTTCTTCAGCCTCTAGTGACTGCCTCAATTCCTTGGCTTTTGGCCCTCTCTGAGTGCATCCCTCCAATCTCTGCTTATGTCCATCACTCCCTGTTCTCCTTGTAGTCAAACACTCTGTTCACACATAGGACCCACTCAGAGAAATGAAGGCAACCGCTGCATGTCAAGATCCTTAACTCACCTGGGGTTTCTTTTGCCACATAAGAGAGAATTCACAGGCTCTAATGGTTAAGAGAGAGATGTCTTTGTGGGCCTTTATTCAGGTCACAGAGTTACTTATTGGTAGAAGAAAGTTTATACCTACCAGGTGTAATTGAATTACTACCAGTTCTGAATGAATGACTATCAACTCAGATAAAAGCACAAAGTGTTTGTGATCCTGTTGACAGATCTTAAAATGTCTGATGATGCTGGTGACACCGTAGCCAATGGAGACAGAGCAGATGTAGCTGAGATGCCCAAGAATGACTCTCCAGCTAAAGATGCAGAAGAGCAGTGTGGTCCAGCTACAGCATCAAGTGAGCCAGCACCAGCTTGCCCCACAAGAGAGCTACATGAAGACACAGCTGGTCTGTGTGCAGAAACTGCTGCTGTGGAGCTTCCAGAGCCATCAAAAGACACTGCTGCTGTGGAGACCCCTCTCAATGGGGAAGCGACCGAGGACACCCTGGCCGAGTGCATTGATTCTGTCAGCCTTGAGGGAGATGCTGGGTCTGAAATACCCCTGAAAGAACAGAATGATTTGGTAAGAGTTGCCATTGGATTCATTCCAACCTAAGCCTTCCCTAACTCCTACTGCCTCAGGCCTTTACCGGTTGCTAATAACACAATATCACAGACTGGGTAAGCTACAAAGAAAAGAGGTTTATATGGATTTCACAGCTCTACTCCAAGGTTAAGGAGTCATATGATGTTGACCTTCTTACTGGCAGTGTTACAAGGTAACTTAGGGCATCACTTGGCAGGAGATGGAGTGCACAAGACACTAACATGCTGTTATAGCAGCCCTATTCCCAGTCTAACCCATTCATCTATTAATCCCATGAATGAGTAATCTATTCATGAGGGTAGAGCCTTAATATCTCTCTCTCTCTCTCTCTCTCTCTCTCTCTCTCTCTCTCTCTCACACACACACACACACACACACACACTTATTTTGTGGTACTAGAGATCAAACTCATGGTCTCTCCCATTCTAGGCAAATACTCTCCATGAGAAACATCCTGAGTTTCCTAATTGGCCCTTAAGGGTCCCACATGGTCCCATCTCTTAATATCTCATGGGAGTTAAAGTTCATGTAAGTTTCAGAGGGGACAAACCGTATCCAAATTCCAGTGCCCACCAGGTGCAGAACTTTATGCCAAGCTCTACAGCTGGGAATTGAGAGTTCAGGCTGTGTTATGACATCACCTCTCATCAAAAGCATGTGGTATGGTAAGAGATAAGACACGCAGAAGAAACATTTGTGGCTGTCAGATTTGTATTTTGATCATTGTGTTAAGAATGTTAACAGCCACCAATTACTGGACATATCCCCCATGCCCAGAACTTGTGGCCACAGCAGAGTTGTGTTGTTCATTCCATGCAATGGTTCAAAGCTATGAACACATAGATGAGGCAACTAAGCTCAGAGATGGTAAGCAGATTGTCTTGGGTTGCTCGATAGATAACAAGATATAATATAGCTTTGGACTTAATAATTCCAGATGATTAAGGGCCTAGAGTCTACCCAGCTTCTCTAACAACCACAGAAGTCCTGCTGTGTAGTTGCAAATCTACTGTGGAGATCTTCAACATTCGGATCATTAATTTATTATCATTTGTCCCTTCCCAGGGGACCAAAGGCAGAGCACACTCCATGCCCTTGCCCTCAGTGCCTGCACCTATCCCACTGGAGGGTAAGCTAGGCCAGTGTCTTCCTGTTGGTACCTGTATTTGGTGGCAGGCCGGGGGGCAGGTTGAGACAAGGTCTTGCTATGTTCCCTGGGCTGGCCTCAAACTCATCCTCCTGTCTCAGCCTCCTAAGTACTAGGATTATAGGTATAAGCTGCCATATTCTGGTTTTGGTACTTTGTGTTACAACAATGTGGCTAAGCTGGATTTCCTGGTGCCTTTCATCTAAGCATGTAGTGACATGTATAGCAGGAGGTATTTAGCGTGGTAGAAGATGGGCTGTTTTTCCTCCATCCTGTCCCAGTTGGATGGCCTACAATGATGGTACATAAGAAGATCAGGGTCTAGCCTCCCCCAAGGCCCAGCCCTGTGAACGCTGAAATAGACCTCTCAGATCACTTTGAAGTGATTCAGTAGCATGTACTGAGGGCAGACATGAAGCATGGAACTGAAAGGTCTGGACATTCACTTTTCAGGTTGAAATTAACTAATTTAGCCAAGAGACCTCATTTCTCTTTGTCTCAGTTTTTTTCTCTATAAAATAAAGAATTTTCACATGAGGACTTTGATGGTCGCTTCTAATGTTTTATGACTTTTATTCAAGTGGGGCTCCTCTTCCTTATGGGTTTGACTCTTATATCTGCTGTAAGGTAAGATAAGCTTCCTGAGGGAGGAAGTGTTTCTTACCACTAGAAACATCCAACTGTTTGGCATTGTAGCATGATGGTCTCATCTACGAAGTTCAAAATCAAGAACCACACAACTGAATTAGACGCATACTGTTTTAAGTTTACAGTTTTGTTGACCTGCATTTGTAGTTTTCCTGGTGCACGTCATACATGCTGGAAGCGCTAAACCAAAGCTGAGCAGCCATTCTGTGGGATTGTTATGGAGGAGACTTGAGGACCAGCTGGGCATTTGGATCAGATACGGAAAATATCCACAAAAATTTGTTTATGACTTCTGAGAGGTCACATGAAAGGCCTCTGAAGGCAACCATGGACCCCTAAAGGATTCCAAACTCCCAGATCAGAGGTTCTCAACTCTATCCAAACATTCCAGCCACTGGTAGGGCTTAAAATATACTGACACCAGAGTCCCAACTCCAAGGAGTTTGACTCATGATGGGGCTTTGACACATGTTTTTTTCAAAGAGTGCCTTAGATAGTTCTCACGTTCAGTCAGGATTGAAAACAGTTGCTCCAAGGCAAAGAATCTTCAGGGTCTTTTTTAGGATTCTTTGAGTAGGTGACCTCTTAGTACCATCCCAGCTCTAAAATTCTGTGGTGCAAAGCTGAGCACTTCATAAGCACTTGAAGAGGGCTGAAGATGTAGCACAGTGGTAGATTCCCCTGGAACTGGAGTTAAGGACGACTGTAAACCACCATGTGGGTGCTAGGAATCGAACTCAAGTCCTCAGCAATAACAGTCAATGTTCTTAACTGATGAGCCATTGCTCCAGCTCCCAACCTTAAATTTCTAATAATTATAATGGAATTGTTAATGAAGATAGCATAGTTTAAAAAAATCAGTATACTCCTACCATGTCTGCCTTCATAAATTTCTTGAACAAATTGGATGACATCAGACAAATCCTGCTTTGAAGACACCTTATGAACCTTAGATCTACATGAATAGAGCCAGCTGGCAACAGATTACCCCCACCCACCCACACACACATTGCAAGGACTTTGGAATACTGAATATTTCCTCATAATGAAGTATACCAGAGATATTAGATGGCAGTACAAACACTGGCCACAGTGTTGAGTCCAAGGCTCTGGATAGATGTCTATGGCACTGTATCAGGAGCTTAGGTAGGACAAGGCATGAGGACAATGCTTTCAACATGTTTATTCCCAGAAGGGCAGAAAGTTAAAAGGGCCTGGAGGGAAGAGGATAGCTTTACCCAGGTCAGATTTAAAGCCTTCTATGTCAGGGCAAATTTAGTCACTCTTAAAGAATTACCAGGAAAAGACATTGTCCTCTCTCCCTTAGTTTTTTCTTACCCAGAGTTACTTAAGTTAATATTAGAAGAGATTAGTTTTGTGCCTAGTCTTTGAGTATTGGCCATTTATTCTATTTGCCCTTTGTCAGATGTGTGCAAGTAACCTTTTTACCATAATGACAAGAATGAATTCTTCAGAAAGGAAGGAAGGAAGGAAGGAAGGAAGGAAGGAAGGAAGGAAGGAAGGCCTTGACTCAAAAGTTTCTTTACAAGTTGGTTACTTAGATGTTGAACACAGGTCCTGTAGGAATGTCAGAGTCTATTGGAAAATAGTCAAGCTCAAAAGCCCATTTGATCCTAGGTGCTTCTAAGTCTGATAAAAATTTCATCATCCCTTTAAAAAAAAGTTTCAGTAGAAAAATTCCTATTAAAAAAAAATTTGGTACAGTATTCTACGAGGAAGTGCATACCAACATCTTCTAAAATACCTTAGATTCTGTGATGATGCTCATAAATGTGTCTTTTTATAAGTGATCTCTATCTGATAGTTACTTTGCATCTGGGCTACACCATTATATTCACTTTTGCTTGACTGGGTGGAGGTTATACCTCATCCACAGGACCCCAAGAAGACCATCGAGGACCCAACACACCAAAATGCAAAAGCAAGGTTTATGGCTTATTCGGGCTCAAGCTCAGGCTCTCAGACCGCACCAATATAACGGATCCGTGCTGAGAGCCCCGGGTGGGAGAAGAAGGGGCACTTTATAGGTTAGAGACAAAGGGAGGAGGGGAATAACAGTGTCACTTTGTGGTTGGTCCAAGAATCCCACACTTTTAAACTGATTGGTTGTACAGGATGCGGTCGTGGAGGTTTTTTATTGGCGGGTGCTGTTCTCAGGGTTGTGGAATGCGCTGGCCATCTGTGTGGTCAGGAGTCTTTATTTTTACTCTATAGGGCAGTGTCCATGCCCGGGCTTATCTAATCTAGTTTCCTGGAAAGGGAACAGCAGGAGAGGAGTAGCAGCAGGCAGGCATTTCAAGCATTATACAGAAGCTGAAAAGAGCAACCAGTGGGGTGTCAGGAGGGGTTGAATGAAGAGGATCTTCGGGTCCTACAATACCTTGACCAATAGGGTGGTGTGACCAGAACAAGGCCAGAGAAAAGAATGTGGTCAGTAGCCCATTAGGTGAGGCCACAATCTTGCTCTATCAATACTTTTTGTGTCCATATGAATAAATATCCTACATAAACAACTTAAAGGGAGGAATTATTTACTCTAATTCAGTTTCTGAGGGTTCAGTCCATGGTAGCTTGGTCCCATGCACTTGGCCAAAATATTACAGTGCAAGAGCATGTTACAAAGTAGATACCTCACCTCTTGGCAGACAGGAAGCAAAGAGAAGGGGGGCATAAGAAGAGGCTAAGACAGATGAAGACCCCAAAGATATGCCCCTAGTTGTCACAGAGACTTGCCACAATATGAGTGTCTGAACAAAGACAGTCTAACTCTTGGCATTGTTTAAAACCTAGAGTGAGCCCTATCTGTTCTCAGAATTGTTCCTCCTGAGTTCTCTTAACAGCTCTTCTCTCAAACAAAGGACTTTCTATCTATTGAAACAGTAAATGTAGCATGACGTGGGAAATAAATGAGGAGCTTTGTCTTATCAGTGGATTTTCCCTTTCTGACCCCTACTGACCTAGAACAGCAACACAAGCACAAACAGAAATTATCAATCTAATCATACCTGTTGTTTGGAATATAAACAGGATAATTTGTTGCTTCCAATGATACCTGCTGTTTCCAGGGCTGTTTTTGAAATGTACATACACACACACATTATTCTGGGTCCAGGGACAATGGTGGGTCATGAGAGATTAAAGTTATTTGTTTAGTTTACAA